ACCCCCTCCCCGCTCCTGGTCCTGCTCCTTCAGGTGTGTCTCAGGTAGACCCTCCTCCCTTGACTGCGCCGGTTGAGGTCACTGGTGACTCAGGTCCTGCTGAGAGTGGTCCTGCTCGGGGTGCTGCTTCTGGGGGTGCTGAGCCTGGGGGTGCTGAGCCTGGGGGTGCGGAGCCTGGGGGTGCTGAGCCTGGGGGTGCGGAGCCTGAGGGTGCGGAGCCTGGAGGTGCTGAGCCTGAGTGTGAGGAGTCTGGGGGTGCTGCACCTGCGGGCGCTGAGGCGTCTGGTGAGCAGTCTCCTTGGAGCGGCCGTCTCCGTAGTCGCTCCGCTGGTGCCTCGCCGCTCCACTCTCGTCGTCGACTCCCTCTCTCCCCACAGCAGCTGCGTGAGTGGTACGTTGGCCGTCAGGGTCGCGCTGCTGGAGCTAGGGGCCCTGCTGCGGGAGGCGCTGGAGCTGGTGACTCTGCTACTGGAGTTGTTTCTGCTGGAGGTTCTGGAGCTGCTGGAGGTGCTGGCGCTGGTGGCGCTGGAGCTGGAGGTTCTGGAGCTGCTGAGGGTGCTGGCGCTGAGGGTTCTGAGTCTGCTGTTGCGCGGTCTCCTTGGAGTAGCCGCCTTCGTCCGCGTGTGCCTCTCACCTCACAGCAGCTGCACGACTGGTACGGTCGCCGTCAGGGTCGCGCTTCTGGAGCTCGGGGCTCTGCCGCTGGAGGTACCTCTGCTGACGTCACTGGAGCTGGGAGTGGTCCTGGTCCCGGAGGTGCTCGTACTAGGGGTACTGGAGCTGCTGGGGCTGGAGGTGCTGAGCCTGAGGGTGCTGCTGCTGGAGACACTGGGTCTGGGGGTGCTGTTGCTGGAGACACTGAGGCTGGAGACCCTGGGACTGGAGGTGCCGGTTCTGGGGGTGCTGCTGCTGGTGGAGCTGGTCCTGGAGGAGCTGGCGCTGAGGGTTCTGGAGCTGCTGGAGGTGCTGGAGCTGCTGGGGGTACTGGAGCTGCTGGTGCTGGTGGCACTCCACAGCCGCGCCTGTTCTTTGCTCCTCCGTCTCCGTCGTCCCAGCCACCGCCTGACTCTGTGCTTCGCCAGGTTCTTAGTCTCCCTTCGTCTACTGGTCTTCCGTTACAGCCTGGCTCACCACTGCCTGTTCCTTCTCCTTACACTGAGCAGACAGGGGGTCTTACTGAGCGTCGTGAGCCTGCGTCGCGTCCTATCTCGCCTGTCCGTTCTGGTCGTTCCGGTCGTCGTGTCCCTCGTTCGCGTCAGCCGGCTGTCTCCGGCACCCACCTCGTCGTCCGTCGTCCTTCCTCTCCTCCGCAGCGTGTTCCCCTGCCGTCCCCTCCTGCGTCTTCTCTGCCTACCGTTCCTGAGCCTGAGTCTGACCACACCCGTGCTGCTCACCCTACTGTTACGCGTCTGCTAGCCACAGTTGTCACTGACCCGTCGTTTGAGTCTGCTGCTGCGTCTGCCTTAGTCGCTCAGCTTGTTGACTTTGCTGCTACCTGTCGTCTAGACTACGCCGCTAGTCTTGTTGCTGAGTCTGAGTCTGTCTGTCCTCCGTCCGTCGGGGGTGAGTGTGCTCTTAGCACGGACGTCCTTGAGGACAGGCAGGAGGACCTTGAGTGTCTTGCAGCCGCTGCGCCTCATCTCGTGTCCATGCTGCTTGCCCCTGAGGGAGACCCGGATGCTCCAGACATCCCGACCCCGCGCTCTTACGCTGAGGCGATCGCGGGTGAGTACTCCTCTCAGTGGCAGACAGCCATGGACGCAGAGATGGCATCCTGGAAGTCCACAGGCACATACGTCGACGAGGTTCCCCCTCCTGGGGCGAACATCGTCAGTGGCATGTGGATTTTCAGGGTGAAGCGGCCGCCAGGTTCTCCGCCTGTCTTCAAGGCTCGTTACGTTGCTCGAGGCTTCAGTCAGAGGGAGGGAGTCGACTTCTTCCAGACCTTCTCCCCCCACCCCGAAGATGACTACTCTTCGGGTGCTGCTGCACGTTTCCGCTCAGCGTGACTACGAGCTTCACTCTCTTGACTTCAGCACAGCCTTCCTACAGGGCAGCCTGCACGAGGAGATCTGGCTGCGCCGCCCACCTGGCTTCACCGGGTCGTTTCCTGCAGGTACCCAGTGGAGCCTCCGGCGGCCAGTCTACGGTCTCCGCCAGGCGCCTCGCGAGTGGCACGACACACTGAGGACGACGCTTGCGGCTCTTGGGTTTGCTCCTTCGACTGCTGACCCGTCGCTGTTTCTACGCACCGCCACTTCACTGCCGCCGTTCTACATCCTCGTGTACGTCGACGACTTCGTCTTTGCCACTGCTGACACTGCTGGACTGGCCTTTGTTAAGTCGGAGCTGCAGAAGAGACACACGTGCACAGACCTGGGTGAGATGCGCAGCTACCTTGGCTTGCAGATCACCCGGGACAGAGCATGCCGCACCATCACACTGACTCAGTCACACATGGTGCAGCAGGTCCTTCAGCGCTTCAACTTCACCTGGTCCTCGGCACAGGCCACACCTCTGGCTACAGGTCACTCGCTCTCAGCTCCACCTTCGGACGAGTCCGTAGAGCCGAGTGGTCCTTACCCAGAGCTAGTGGGCTGCCTCATGTACCTGATGACCTGCACTCGCCCTGACCTTGCCTCTTGGCCTTTTGGCTCGCTACGTGGCTCCCGGTCGGCACCGAAAGGTGCACATGGATGCTGCTAAGAGGGTACTACGCTACTTGTGCAGTACATCGGGCATGGGGCTCGTGCTTGGAGGACGGGGCGACGTTGTTCTCACTGGTCACTCGGACGCTTCTTGGGTTGACGACCAGGCTACGCAGTGGTCGTCACAGGGTTACACCTTCAGCCTTGGCTCTGGCTCAGTTTCTTGGCGTTCTACACGCTCGTCTTCAGTTCTCAGCTCCAGTTGTGAGGCTGAGATCTACGCCACAGCCATGGCTGCACAGGAGTTACGCTGGCTCACCTACCTGCTGACCGACTTGGGAGAGCGGCCTCGTTCTCCTCCAGTGCTGTACGTCGACAACAAGGCCGCCATTGCCTTGTGTCAGGAGCACAGACTGGAGCACAGAACGAAGCACATCACTCTGCGTTACTTCTTGGCTCGAGAGTTGCAGCAGCGTGGTCAGCTTCGTCTGGCTCACGTGGCCACTCGGGCCAACACTGCTGATATATTCACCAAGGCACTTCCGTCTGGTGATCATCAGCGTTTTTGTACTCTGTTAGGCCTTGTGCCCACGTTTCCTCACTTGCTGTAGATTTTGTCTGTACTGTGTGATATATATATACCTGCATGCTTGCTCTGCTAGGTAGAGATCACTGTGCTGTTGTTGTTGCATATATACCTCTGCATGTGAAGTGGCCTTGTGGCCCCTTTGCTTGTGCTCAGTGTGTGTGGTGACGTTGTGATCCACCCTGAGCTTGCTTTGCTTCTCTTGACTGGTCTTGTGACCCATTGCTCTCCCCCACTTTGCCTATGGGGGTGTGTCAAGTCAATTATATGCATGTTATATATGTTTAGGCTGTAGTGGGGTAGCCAATGTAGGGTACAACCCCTTAGGGTTCTCATCCTTGTACCAAAACTTCCTCGATAGTCAACTATCCCTACCAACCTACTCTAACAAATACATCATGCATTCCTGTACATAACAAGAACAGACAAACACCCGTGTCTACAATTCAACAGTCTTCTATCCGGGCAATGTAGGTATGTACACAAAAAAAAACCTACATACGGTACAGTGGAACAAAACAAAACCAGCAGCTGCAATACAGAAAAGAAGGGCAATTTCATTATGCCAGGTGGTGGCATGCCAACGAAGAAGAGGGTGAAGAGAAACCACCTAACGCTGGGAGGAACATGGTTATGCGAGTTGTGAGCTTGGTTCTTCACCTACCAAATAGGGCCTGCAGAGGGGAGGGATGGGTGATGCAGGGCACGCAGACAGTGCATGGAAGGGCAAGGAAGGCGAGGATGATGAGGGGCCAGACAAGTCAGAGCACACAGGCTGGAGATGTGCCAATACACTTCTTGCAGGCCCCTGCTCATTTGTACAAGCGTGACTATCTTGCCTTTGTCCCTTCAGCATGAGATCATGGGATGATGGGGTGATGCAATCCTGGGTTGAAGATAGACCCAACGGCGGTACTGTCGAGAGAGGAGACAAGTGAGAGCACAGAACTAAATCATTGGAGGCAGGTTTGATACAAGGCGCAGGGCCTAGCGGCAGCTTCACCAGGGCCGCGATGCCTCGGCAGGCCTCAGCAAGCAGCGCGAGGCAGATGCACGAGCAAGCACGGGAGGAGTGGGCAGCGGGAGGAGTGGGCAGGCGCACGCACGCGGCGGTCACAGCAATCCAGTCCAGGAAGGGGACCAGGCTCACCCTGACCGCACAACCACCCACACCAACCTCGTACACGTGGCTGCGCGGGCAGCCCGCAAGGCGGGGTTCATCTTCACAGTGCACAGGAAAGTGAATAGGGGGCGTATGTCCGAGATAGAGTCACCTCAGCTCTCCATCACCACACCACACTGGGCCTGCTGCCGGCCTTGCCACACCCCACACACCCCTCACGTCCATCGTGCCCACCCACCTCCTGCTGCACGTCCTGCAGCCTACCCGCTGCACGTCCTGCAGCCTACCCGCTGCACGTCCTGCAGCCTACCCGCTGCACGTCCTGCAGCCTACCCGCTGCACGTCCTGCAGCCTACCCGCTGCACGTCCTGCAGCCTACCCGCTGCACGTCCTGCAGCCTACCCGCTGCACGTCCTGCAGCCTACCCGCTGCACGTCCTGCATCCTACCCGCTGCACGTCCTGCAGCCTACCCGCTGCACGTCCTGCCCCTACCTGACCCGCCCGCACGACCCCTCTTGCCCCCTCCTTGCCCGCACAGGCTGTGCCTTTCTATGGCCCCTGCACTGCGCAGATGGTGGCAAACACGCCCAGCCGGCACTCACACGTGATGGCAGGGAGTGCGGGTGGGCAGTGCCGGCCGCCCTACAGCCCCACGTCCGTGATCTGCGCGTACAGCGACTTGCGCTGCCCGCTGGGTGATCCCTCTGCCTCCTCGCCACCTGGCTCCTCCTGGCCGGGGCAAGGCACGGCGTGAGGAGACGGGTGGGGAAACGGGGCGGGGAGGAGGGGGAGGGGAGGAGAGGGGGATCAGGGGGAGGCGTAAGGAAAGAGTATGGGGGAGAGGGGAAGTGCGCTGGTCAGCAAGTCCCAGTTCCTCCTCGGGGGCTGGCTCCTCCTGCCATTGCTAGGGGGTGGTGGCGGGAGAGGGATGGGGGATAGAGGGGGGTTAGGGAGGGAGGGAGGTGTGGGCGAGAGGGGTTGGAGAGAGGCGTGGGGTAGGTGGGGGAGAGGCGTAGCAGAGAACAAAAGAAACGTTTCCCACTAATTGTGTCTTCGACCTCACCATTTTGTCTGAGCCCATCGCCTCTTACCACCCCCATCTCCCTCCCTCTCACCCCACCATCGCCTCTTAAGCCTTGCATACCCCTGTATCCCCTCGTCCCCTGCCCCCACTCACCCGCAGGCGCGGCCAGTCGCGCATGTCCTGCGCCAGCTTGCGCAGCACCATGCGGTCCGCCGGCACGCGGTCCTCACACACCTGGGGCACACGAGGGGATAAGCGGCACGGAGGAGGACGGGGGAGGGAGGGAGAGAGGGGGAAAGGGCACGAAGGTGCGCACGAGGGGTTAAGGGTGGGGGATGACGCACGGCAAAAGATGGAGGGGAGCGGGGAGGGGTGGGGACTTGACGAGCAGAATACGAGCGTTGAGCATGTTCCCTCCACGCGCATCCCCCTCACACTTTCCTCGCCAACCAGCCCCCACACCCTCACGCCTCTCCGCCCTCTCCCCGCCCCCACCTCTCCCCCTCCCCCACGGCTCCCCCCCAATCCTTCCCCCTCTCCCGACACCCCGCTCCCACCACTTCCCCTCCATGCCGTCCCACGTGGAGGAGGCGTCGGCGCGCAAAGCCCCACAGTTTCTGCAATAACCAACCCCCGCCCACCCCACCTCTCCCCTCCCCTTTCCCCCCACCCCCCCACCTCGCGGAAGGCGTCAGCGATCTCGTCGCGGGAGCACCCGCTCTCGTTCTCGATGCCCATCTGCCGCCGCCGCTGTGCCTCGCGCGGGTCCTCGATCATCAGCACCAGCCGGATCTGCGCGCGTGACGTCAGCCGGCGCGCGGAAGGCGCGGGGAGATTGGCGCGCAATTGGGGGGCGGAGGGAAGAGAGGGGGGGGAGGGGGGGGGTGGGAGTGGGAGGAGAAGTGGGGGGGAAGCGAAATGTGGCGAGCAGGGAGACTAGAGATGCGCGCGAACGACGGACAATGAGGAGCAAGGAGGGACAAGGAAGGACGTTACGGACATGGGCGGACAATTACGACGACACAATGTGAGTCGCGGCAAACCGCGAGGCTAAGAAGCGCACCTCCTGCACCGTCATGTCGCGCCGCTCCTTGAGCAACTCGATAGTCTGCCACGCACGCACGCACAGGCACGCGCACAAGAATGGATGGGCAAATCAATTCGACGCATGGTGCAGGGTAGGGCTTGAGGCATGACAAACCGCAAGGCTTAAAACGGGAAGACCGACCCCAAGGTGCGACCGGAATGGCAAGAAGCACGTGCAGCACGGAATGCGGTTGGAGGCGTGAGTGGCTCGGCGGAGGGCTCCACTAAGGAGACTTGGACTGACCCCTAGGCACGACCCTGCACTCGCGATCCTTGTCGCGAATGTGGTGAACAGGCGACGCAAATCACCTCGACGATGTCCTGAATGTCCCTCAGGTCCTGCGCCTCCTCCGCCTCCTCCGCCGACAGCTGCGCCTCCCCATCCTTCCCCTCCGCCTCCGCCGCCGCTGCCTGCACGGACCGCCTAGACGCGGAGCCCGGTTGTGGCGAGGAAACAGCTTGCTGCGATTGGCGGCGGCATCGGACGGCGAGCGATCGCTCGGAAGAGAAAGCGACGACACGCGTCGGCCGGGATGCGGCAAGCCGAGGAGCGAGTGACGGCGACGCGTGTGGGGTGTGTCGCACGGCGATAGACGTCGTCATTGGAGATAACGGACTAATTCAAATCTCCCTGATTGATTGGAATCACGAGGAAATTGAACATTGCGGATGGATAAGGTACGCATCTGCCGAGCTGGCAACCGGCAGCGAAACTGGTTGGCTGGGTGTAACCCTGTTGCCCATGCCAACCTGTTCGCTGTTGTTGGGATTGAGGAAGGCTCTCGCCACCCTAAAAGTTAGGACGCGTCGTAATACACCATGTTACCAGGTCTCGTGGGTGCTGGCGAGTGTACAGTAAACATGGCGTCACGAACCTGTCCACGGCGGTTTTGCCAATCGATGTACCCGTCAAAACACCGACACAGCGTGAACGGAGCAGACACCAGGGCCCCAGTTCGACTGGCATTAAAAAAAGGGAAATTATACGGGAAGTCACAATTAAGCCCGTTTTACCACGTTTGGTCACAGGGGTGTCACGAACAGTCACAGTACAGTACATTTCTATCGCGGGTGATCACAGTGCTATCACGGATGGTCACACCTCGCCTCTAAAAGCTATCACGTTTGGTCACTCGATGAAACGATAATAAATAATTTGAGACCACAAAAGAAACTGTAGAGATTTTGGGGAGTCCCAATCTTGATTGCTTGTTACCTCGCGCATGATTCTAGCCTGACATTTAGGGGACTGCAGAAAAAAAAATAAGCCCCTATAGGATGGCACGTCCTTCGGGAGGCATCAACCCTAAACACCATGCGACAAGGTGTTTAGGGTCGAATTAAATCCCATCCAAATGGGTTTTAGTTTTTTTTTGTCATGGGAACAGAAATTACCCTTCGAGTTTCACCCGTCTAAAAGTGATATTCTTAGGGACATTATGCATCAATCGAACCACGAACAATCGAATAGTAACAAGAATTTGCAGATATTTTTAACGAGTTACCGAGAGTTGTCACGAAACTATTTCGTAATACTACGGACAAAACGGCGCGCGCGAGCGAACTTTCCTTGAATCCCTACAGTGACTTGAGTAGTTTCAACTTTCTATCGACCGTTTCAATGAGTGACCAAACGTGATAGTTTTTTGGGGCAATGTGTGATCATCCGTGATCGTACTGTGATCACCCGCGATACAAATCTACTGTACTGTGACTGTTCGTGATACCACTGTGACCAAACGTGATAAAGTGGGCTTAATTGTGACTTCCCATATAATTTCCCTAAAAAAAACGGGCGAAGGGGATGGGCTACAGTGAAACGATCACCGTGGAACCTTCCTTGATAAGCGCGTGAAAGGTTATCAAGGCTCGATATAAGCGGATCTACACCGAACCAGACAATAACGGAATGCCAGCCGAACAACCCTTTTTTCGCTGGCGTTTGCAACCCCATTTTTCTTCATCGAACCATTTTCTCTGGCAAAGTGCCCATTTTCTGATCCGCCGCACCATGCGGCCTCAAGGCCCCGCACCATGCGGGGTATCAGTGATTCGGGGCAATAACACCTTGTCCTGAAAAAAACATATCCCGGTATATCCCCTGATCGTGGGGAAGCTGCTGGAATCCGAGCTCAATGAGCACGGTGTGGAGGTACTGCTGCCACAGGCGCGGTGCCTGCTTGATCGTGTAGATGGATTTCCGGAGGAGGCATACGGCATCACCGTCCTCTTCAAAGGCGTGCGGTTGCTCGACGTAGATGATCGCGTCGACGATCACGTAGAGAAACGCGTTGGACACGTCGATCTGGCGGAGGGGGCGCTGCTTCACGGCTGCGACGCAGATGAGGATTCGCACGGAGGTGCGGTGTCTGACAGGTGCAAATGTATTGTCATAGTCGACGAATTGGGTTTGTTCGAAGCCGCGAACTACCCAGCGTGCCTTGTATTTGTCGATGGCGCTGACTGCGAGAGTCTTGATTCGGAACACCCATTTTGCCGTGAGGTTTTTCCTCCCCTTTGCGTGTCGTCGTGGCACCAGCTTCCAGGTTCCGCGCCTCTGGAGTGCAGCGACTTCTGCGGCCATGGCTGCTCTCCACTTCTCGGCATCGGGTCCGTTCAGAGCCTGGTGAACGCTGGCAGGCTCAACCAGCTGCTGGTTACCACGGATAGCGATAGCAAGTCCGAGGATGCGAAGTCCGGTGAGGTTGGACTCGGCTGCGTTGGTTACTTTGACCACGTCGTCATCGTCGCCACGGTCGCGAACGGTCTCGCGAGAGGAGTTGCGGTTGGGATCTTCGTCCATGGGTGAGTGCATTTCTGCACTTGCATAATCTTGTTGTGCCTGTACTGCTTCGTGTTGATCGGGATCGGTCGAGAAGAAATGCACGGTGCGGAATTCCTCTGTAACGGATACGAAGGGTACCTAAACTGCAGTTCTTTCCTCTGGCTGCTGCCCTGCCACGTCAACCTCGTCCTCATCGCTTGCGTAGCCGTGTTGTCCCTGGAAAATGTTGTCCGGTGCGTCTTGTGCATTGCGGTGCTGTCGGTACAGTGGCAGGGTCAGCCTTTCGTAGAAGATGCAATCACGTAAACGCGTGACTTGGTGGATGGCGAAGTCGAGGATGGTCCAAGCGTGGTATTCTGATTCGATTCCGAGGTGAATGCCCCAGCGTGCGCGGTCTTCAAACTTTCTGGTCCGGGCAGTGTGGGGACGGTACTGTACCATACACCCGAAAACCCAAAGCATGCGCTTGTCAGGGTTTTTGCCGGTCCACTCCTTGAATGGTGAGTTGTTGTTGGGCATGGCCTTTGAAGAAAGCATGTTGTGCAGGCGAACAGCATGCGCCATCGCGAAGGGCCAATATTTGGTTGGCACATCTGACTGCTTCATGAGGGATCGCATTTTTGTCGCGAAGCTCATGTTAGTTCTCTCCGCCAGTCCCTGTTGCTCGTGAGCGTAGGGAAGAGAAATCATCCTCTGGATTCCTTCTTCCGCACAGAGGGTTTTGAATTCCACTGTCTGGTACTCTAGTGCCCCGTCGGTCTGGAAGGGCTTCAGCTTCTTGCATTCAATCTGAGTCTGCGCCATCTTGAGCCATAGTTAGAAGCACTAGTAGGCGAGATAGCGGTTGCTGACGTTCACAACCTAGACGAAGCGCGTGCCGGCGTCGATGAAGGTAAGAGTGTACTGCTCCCCTCCCAGCCCCTTTGTTGTGAGAACCTGAAAGCCGCTGTAGACTTTGTCGAGTGGGTCGTACCGCTCGGCTCTAGGTATCTTTTCGGCGAAAGGGGTGTGACGTAGCGCGGCTTCCGGGCAGACGGTGCAATTTGGTAAGTCTTCTCTTGGTTTGAGGAGTTTTCTATCTAGCAGCAACAGTGCGTCTTCCGCAAATACTTTTGCGTTGATGCAGTTGTTGAGCACTTCAATTGACGGGTGTCCGAGGCGGTTGTGCCAGATGTCGGGATCGGCGCGGTATCCCCGTGTGCGAGCGTAGATCTCATTCTCTCGTGCCAAGACTTTCCTTGCGGTTTCCTTTTCCACTTGTTCCGCAGGTTCTTCCGGTACAAGGACTTGAACTGCTGCCGCGCGGAGCGTCTCGAATCTTGCTCCGTGGTATGTCCCGCTGGAGTCGCCGATGACGGTGGTGTCGATTTTCACAGGAAGCTTCAAAGGTCCTTCTGGAGGGGGTCGGCGTGATTCTTGGGCGACGATCTTCCGGTTGAGTGACTTCTTCTTCTTCGAAGTCGGTGTCGCCAATTGCTGCTCCCCTTGTCTCGAGCCGGAGGTAGCTTCTTCCGTCAGTGGTGATTGGGATCAGGTGAGGGCCGTATTCAGTCAGCGCTTCTTCTTCTTCTTCTTCCTCTTCTTCTTCTTCTTCCTCTTCTTCTTCTTCTTCTTCTTCTTCTTCTTCTTCTTCTTCTTCTTCTTCTTCTTCTTCTTCTTCTTCTTCTTCTTCTTCTTCTTCTTCTTCTTCTTCTTCTTCTTCTTCTTCTTCTTCTTCTTCTTCTTCTTCTTCTTCTTCTTCTTCTTCTTCTTCTTCTTCTTCTTCTTCTTCTTCTTCTTCTTCTTCCTCTTCTTCTTCTTCTTCTTCTTCTTCTTCTTCTTCTTCTTCTTCTTCTTCTTCTTCTTCTTCTTCTTCCTCTTCTTCTTCTTCTTCTTCTTCTTCTTCTTCTTCTTCCTCTTCTTCTTCTTCTTCTTCTTCTTCTTCTTCTTCTTCTTCTTCTTCTTCTTCTTCTTCTTCTTCTTCTTCTTCTTCTTCTTCTTCTTCTTCTTCTTCTTCTTCTTCTTCTTCTTCTTCTTCTTCTTCTTCTTCTTCTTCTTCTTCTTCTTCTTCTTCTTCTTCTTCTTCTTCTTCTTCTTCTTCTTCTTCTTCTTCTTCTTCTTCTTCTTCTTCTTCTTCTTCTTCTTCTTCTTCTTCTTCTTCTTCTTCTTCTTCTTCTTCTTCTTCTTCTTCTTCTTCTTCTTCTTCTTCTTCTTCTTCTTCTTCTTCTTCTTCTTCTTCTTCTTCTTCTTCTTCTTCT